GAAGAAATCTAAAGTAAAAGATGGGCTTCGAACAGAAGCTGCCTCAAGTGTAGCTAAAACTTCCAATCCAAACCAAATGCTGATTGAGAGAGAACCGAAGAGAAGAGAAACCAAACCCTAACTGAAGCAAAGAGGAAAAAAATCACCCCTCACAAGAGCTCAACCCAATCCAACAGAAAAAATGAGCAACAAAAACCAAAGTCTAAAATACACCATGCAAGCAAGAGAAATCAGACCCTCAAAAAACCCTCAAGTGAAAATGGGAACATACCAGGCTTGCCTTTGCTGTTACAATACATCAGTTTTGGCAGCTTTAATTCATACAAGTCATTTCAGGAAATGGAAAATGGGAAGAAATCTAAGTAAAAGATGGGCTTCAAACAGAAGCTATTTCAAGTGTAGCTAAAACTTCCAATCAAAACCTAACACTGATTGAGATAGAACCGAACTGAAGAGAAACCAAACCCTAACTGAAGCAAAGAGAAAAAAAACCACCCTTACTGGAGTTCAACCCAAAGTTGGCTATGAGAAAATCTACAAGCAGAGGTTCTAGAAGTTCTTCTAGTGGTAGGCATCCCTTCTCACTTACATTTGGTGTCCCAGGTCCCATAGGCCTTCATGAGACTGAAATTGGAGGGGAAGACATTAATGACCAAGATGATGATAATGATGATGAGAAAGAAGAAGCACGTCACAATGTGTCCATCAAACATTTAGCCTACCTGAATAAGCCTGAGGTGCCAGTTCTACTGCTAGGATCTATTGTTGCAGCAGTACATGGCATAACCTTTCCAGTTTTTGGACTACTGTTCTCAACAGCCATCAAAATTTTCTATGAACCTACTCATGAACTTCAAAAAGATTCCAAGTTTTGGGCTTTGGTGTATATAGATCTAGGTTGCATTGCTCTAATTTCTGTACCGATGCAACAATATTTATTAGGTGTTGCTGGAGGTAAATTGATACAATGTATTCAATCTATGACATTTGAGAAGGTGGTACACCAGGAAATTAGTTGGTTAGATAACCTGCATATTGAAGGTAGATTAACCAATTTCTAGCCAACACCCTAAGTTCCCTCTATACATAAATTTTCCAATATGTTATTAAGACATGAAATTTCTGGTTCCATTTCAGTGGGACTATTGGTGCAAGGTTATCTGCTGATGCTTTAAATGCGTGGAGCCTTGTAGGTGATGCCTTGGCTTTGATGGTTCAGATCATATCAGCACTCATAGCAGGGCTTATTATAGCATTTTTGGCTAATTGTAAATTGGCACTTGTTGTTTTGGTTTTGTTACCATATGTAGGTCTGCAAGGATATGCTCAAATGAAGTTTCTGGAGGGATTTAGTGCAGATACCAAGGCTATTTCCATTACTCTATTGTATAAATTGATACATTGAAGGAATTTAGATGATGGGGATGCAATAAAACACACATACTAATTTTGATTAACACTAATTATAGATTTTAGCAGCAATAGTTGTAATGATTATCAAATAATATACATTGCAAAAAATTGCTGGGCTGCTAAGAAAGTTATAAAATCTCTTGCAGTAATGTATGAAGAAGCAAGTCAAGTTGCAAATGATGCAGTAGGTAGTATTAAAACAGTTGCTTCATTTTGTGCAGAACAAAAGGTAATGGGTCTAAACCATAAAAAATGAGATGCTCCAATGAAACACAGAATCCAGCTTGGAGTCACAAGCAGTGGAGGATATGGTTGCTCCTTCATTGTGCTTTTTTGCACTAGAGCTGCATGTTTCTACTTTGGAGCTATTCTTGTGCAACATGGCCAAGCAACATTGGGACAAGTTTTCAAGGTAATGGAACTTTGGTGATTTGTTTGCTTGTTCCTATTTCATGGTGGCGTTTGTTTTGGTTTCTAATGGCCTGACTTTTGCAGGTTTTTGACAATATCAGCATGTGGAATTTCACAAACTAGTGCAATGGCTCCAGATTCCAACAAGACTAAAGATTCAACTTCTATTCTCAACATTCTAGACAGCAAAACAAAGATTGATTCAAGCAGTGAAGAAGGTATGCCCCTAGCTAGTATCAAAAGTGATATTGACCTCAAACCTAAGTTTTAACAGTGCAAGGCACCAAAAAAAAAAGGTGTAAAAGCCATATTGCACCCGAGGTGCACGCCTTTTTGAAGCAAGGCATAAAATTAAAAAAAAAATCAAAATTTGCAAAACAATGTAAAAAAAAAATGATTTTTACAACCCAACAAAATCTTTATTTCTTTCCCAATTGCATTATTTCAAATAGTTAATGTGATGCTACACCTTTCATTCCTAATTCTACAACCCATCTTTATACCAAGCTCCTTGAGGCAAGCCCAAACAAGTCCATGTTAGGATCTTAAAAATTCTTAATCCCTAAAAATAATTTTATAATTTAATTATCTTTTAAAAGTATCTTTTATTAGGATGAATGAATGAACCATTGAACCCCCTATTTTCTAATGTTGTTCATGCATTCATCCTAATAAAAGATATTTTTAAAAGATAATTAAAATTATAAAATCATTTTTTAGGGATTAAGAATTTTAAGAACCTAACATGGACATCTTTGGTGAGCTTGCCTCAAGGGGCTTGGTTGAGGGTGCGGGCCCAACCACCATGCTTAAAAAACACCAAATAGCGCAAAAAACAAAAAAAAAAAAGGCACATGCCTAGGTTGAGGTGCAAGGCGCACGCCTTTTGAAAGTGGTGCACCTGGGACCTAGGCCATGTGCCTCACCTGTGCACCTAGGCGTGCATTTTTAAATCATTGCCTCAAACATGATAGCTTCGGATACCTAACACATCCAGATGTGCAGATCTACAGAGATTTGTGTCTAAGCATCCCATATGGAAAGGTACTTACCACCTCTCTCACCTGTATTATCATTGTCAACATCTTCAGAGACTTGAAGTTTCTTCTCAAATTAATACTAATGTTCTTTACTATTTGTTGACAGTTGCTTTGGTTGGAGAGAGTGGTAGTGGGAAATCAACTGTTATCAGCTTGCTAGAAAGATTTTATGATCCTAATTCAGGTCAAATATTGTTTGAGGGAATAGAAACTCAAAAGTTCAAGCTAAGCTGGCTAAGGCAACAAATGGGATTGGTAAGCCAAGAACCAGTACTATTCAATGAAACAATTTGTAACGGCATGCTTATGGAAAGCAAGGAGGTGCATTTGAAGATGAGATTATTACAGCTACAAAAAACAGCAAATGTTCAGAACTTTGTAGCAGGACTTCCAGAAGGCTATGATACCTCCATTGGGGAGAGAGTACAATTGTCTGGTGGACAAAAGCAGCGAATAGCCATTTCTAGAGCAATATTGAAGGATCCAAAGATCCTTTTGCTCAATGAGGCCACAAGTACACTGGATGCAGAATCAGAGTGTGTGGTGCAAGAAGCATTAGAGAGAGTGATGGTGAACAGAAGCATCATGAGGTGCTCATCAGCTTATGATGATACTAGATTTGCCTATGCTTCTCTAGTAGCACTCCACATGAGCTCCTCAACATAGGCAAAATAGGAGACAAGAGTTTGTAGTAGGCCTATAGTCTATTGTGTCTCAGAGATTCTTTGTGGCCAATGGGTTCCTCTGGCAAGAAGTCTTAATATATCTTCTTTTGATTCCTTGTTCTTTCTTTCATTCAGCTAAAAAAAAGGTTCATCTGATCAATAATGCTGAAATGCACATAGATGTTTCTCATGTTCAATTAAAAAGTGTGAAAACATGAAATGAAAAAAGAACTTTCACTATGCAGTTAAAGCAGAAAACAATATAGACCATATGTTTTTCTCTCCTAGTATCTCTCCTTGTTTATCCCAGGAATTATGAAATGATTTGTAGAGAAGAAAAGCTCTCTAGAGAATCTTCACCATAGAATATCTGAGACTGATTCACAGTGGAAACATGGTTCAAAAGGAAATGAAAAAAAAAACGCACATTTAGAGTTTTTAAGAATGGATAGTCTGTTTTTCTTATTTTTTTCAGTTTGGTTAATTCACATATACATGGATTAGAATAGACATTACTGTTTAAACCCATTTAACAGCCCTAACTCTCAGCAGTAGGATTCATTGCAATATTTTGAACCTGGTGCAGAAATGATGTTCAATTGCAATTTACCTCTAATTGAAATTGAAGAGCCAGTGAGAGGGCTTGACATTCATAAAGAAGCCGCCCCATGTGCCACAACTTTTCTATTGAGGACATACATAGAAACTAGAATGGGATGGCTGGCCTTTAAACCACAAGAAATATTACATCAGTTCAACGGAGACCTCCTAGAGAACAGGTCATAAGGCTGAACTTTGATAGGTTCCATATTGGTAATCAGGGCCCATCAGGGATCAGGGGAGTCTTTAGAGGTTCCTACCAAGCCATAGATGACAGCATCTAATAGAATTTTTTTATCTTCAGGATTCCTACTGTTTCATCCGTTCTTAACGGTATACCTGCTTGTCTTTCTAGAAATTTCCCAAACCCATTTATAACAGTTCCCTCCCTGTGTAACTTGCACTCTCTGCCACTTTTTGAAACATAACATAGTCCAAGCTTAATAACTCTACATCTAGAAAATTTAACTTGTCCTTTGTAAGCCATTTTCTAAAGACAGCAGTCAGAACCATGAATACCATCTTTAATGGTACTTGTGTTTCCAATATTGTTGTGGTAGGATAGCCTCCTCTCTTAGGAGTAGTTAACTTCTTGAAAGAGCAGGCAGTGAATTCTTCATATCCTCATTTTCCTATTGAGGCTCGGACAATGAGTTACTGCAATTGTAAAAGCAGCCAACACTAACAGCTTCATGGTAGAATTTCCAGAGGACATTGGGAAACAAAAAAAAAAAAAAAACAAAGAGATGCACCAGAATAACACCTTAAAAATAAACAAGTTCTTGTACTAGAAATTTCTCAAGAAATATCAAATTGAATCGATAGCATTTTCTACAATAACCAAAGACATAACAGAAATTTAGTCCAAGAGTGTAAGAAATTAAGAAAACCAATTAATTTCCCATCCATAAGAAAGAAAGTTATAAAGGATATGCTCTGCAACAAAGATGAATCTGCCAAAAATTGAGGGACTTTAAAATACAAGTTTACTTGAAATACAAAGCCCAAGAAATGGTAAAGCTAAAAGCTCACTTCTAAAAGGTAAAAACATGCATACTTGACTACAAGAAGCCCTACAAGTTGAGAAATTCCTCCATGGAGTCCATCACAAAGTTCAAGCTTACAAGACCATCCAACCATGGAAAGAAATAATTCCTTCAAAATTAATCACTCTGTTGCTTGCATTTTCTTACTCTTCTTAACCTTAATTTTCATTTTACCTATCCCGGACTTTCCAAGCTTATTTTTCTCCTTCTTCTTCTTCTTCTCCACAGAAATGTCGCCGGTTGGTTCATCAACTACTTTTTCTCCAAGTTCTAAAGAAAAGTCGCCCTTTTTCATTTTAGCTGGTTTCTTCTGCTGTTTCTTGCCACTTATTTCATTCAAAACCTCTTGTTTGTTCAATGTGTCTCCCTTCTTTACCTTTTCTAATTTACTTGGTTGCTTCTCGCCATTTAACTCATTGAGAACCCCTTCCTTCTTGATCTCTCCCTTCTTCCGCTTTTTACCAGTCAATTCAGCTGTTTCCGACTTGCTATCTTCATTGGCTTCCTCATCATTATCCAATTTATCATCATCCAAAAACTCATCAAAATCATCATCCATGTACCTAACCTCATGAATCCTCCCCTTCTTCGAAACCTTCTTCTTCTCCAACTTCTTCTCCTTCTTTTCCACATTACCTTTCTCCCCAGATTCTACCCCTGAGCCAAGTTCCTCCTTACTCGCCTCCTCTTTCTTCTTAATCCCCTCGATTTTCATCCCCATTTGGGGCACAGTCTGATATAACGGCAAAGCCAGAGACTCCAACAGCTTCAAATGAAATGAACGAACATTCGCCCACTTCTTCGGGACAATCTCTCCAACTCCATTAATGGCAGCAACTACATTTTCGACAATCCCATCGCGGCCCATAGAAATCCGAGCGACCTTCAAAACACAACAGGTACCGGTCCTCAAGTACAGAAGGGCCGACCCAGATGCGAACTCAATCTGCTCCTTCCAGTTCTTGTGGGTCAAATCGACGGGTACCGGAATCTTCTTCCTCTTAAAGAATTGCTTCCCCAAGAGCCTGGGAAGCAGGGGAATGATCCGCTTATCTGCGAAGAAAATGTCGAACGAGTTGCAGAGCTGGCGCTTCTTCTCAAAGTTACGGTAGTCGGATCTGAGCTGGGACAGCCTGAGAACAAGATTGACGGGGATGTTATCGGCTTCAACCTTTTTAGTAGCAGCGTCGAAGGTGAGACGGGATTTGGGGCGGTCGTCAATGATGAGGCAAATTTCCTCTTCGGAGGTGTCATGGAGAGGGTGGGGAAGTGAGATCTTGTAAGGATTGGTGCGGCCTTGTTCTGGGATCTTCTTGAGGGTTAGGATGAGATAAACGAAATCGTCCTCCTCGAACAGTTGCGCGTTTTGCTGCTTTTTCTTGGCATTAATCCATTTCAGCAGAGCGTCTACAGCTTTTCCAACAGTTTCCGAGCTAACCCTAGACGACGGAGCAGAAGGGTTGTTTGAAGTCATGGAAGGTCAGCGAAGAAGATATCGATGGCTCTCAGCAAGAAACGAGGACAGAGTTGGAGGTTTTGCTTACTCTGGTGGTCTTGGCTGGTCTAAAACCCTAACAAGTTGGATGTTTTTGCTAGGGGTTAATTACAGAAATAAATAGGGAAAAGACTAAACCTCCCTCGAATTTTCACATAAATACGGAAACCTCCCCTCTACTAAAACCTTTCCTGTTAGTTAATATCATTGTAAAAAACCTTTCCTGTTTGTTAAGATTTACACGCCTGTTATATTAAAATTTTTCAAAAATCCATTTTTGCCCTTTTTATGTTGAAGCAAGAAAAAATATCAAAACAATATGATATCCTTATTTTTCTAATATTTCCGATGGATGTTGAAACCATTGAAAGATTAGATGATGCAAACAAGACTCAATCCCTTGCAAAATTGGAATTTAGGTGTTTTACAAATGGATCTTTAAACATGTAAAGATCAACTTGGACAATCTAAGATTATAACATTTCATATGAACATAAGAAAACCAATATTAGATTGTTAATGTCAAACTTGTCATCTATCAACAAATTGTGAAAATCAATTGAAAGAGAACATTTGACAAAATGGGTTCAACGGTTTAAATCTAAATTGGGTTTGAGTTTCCATGAGCATTAATTACAAATCTTTTATATTCTCAAGGAAGTGGCAGAGCCAAACTTTCCTGCAACCGCTAGATCTGAAATATGAAAAAAAAAAAAACAAATTAGAAAAATTCTCTAAAAACTTTCCAAGATCAATAAACTTGTCCTAAAGTATTGAGAAAATTGCAATAGATCCCAACATATACCTAAAACCAAGGTTCAAAAAATTGACATGTATTGGCTGATATGTATCGTATTGAGAGCACTCTAATACGTCTTTACAGAGGGTGTATCGGGGTTCTGACTGGTTCAGGGAATGGAGGAGCCTTAAATCGCCCCTTGAACCGGTTTTGAAAAATAAAATAAAATAAAAGTAAAGAAAAAACCATTACGCCCCTACATGGATAGAGTTGCCCGGTTTCAATTATCATAGCTTGAAATAGGATAGAAATTTGAAGTAGAAAGGGGAACTTTCTTTTTACTGTTTTCGAACGATTCCCATGTTTTGAAAATTTAATGATTTAATAAGGAAAAAAGAGACTTTTTAATGATTTGGTTGGATATAATTAAGGCAATGGAGTTATTAGTCCATTTTAAAAAGTGAGGGGATGTTTCATTATTTAAGAGAATTTTGAAGGGAGGTTTAAGTCTTTTACCCAAATAAATATATGCCCTTAAGTTTTACTAAGGTGGCGTTTGATAATACTTTTCAAACCTCTAAAGTCTGAAAATGTTGCTTTTCAGATGCCAGAAGTGTATCTAAAAATTATTTTTAAATTTGAAATAATAAGACATAGGCCAGGCATTGAGCGCGTTCAAATGCATTTCAAACCTAGTGAAAAGTCCAAAATACCCTTTAATTAAAGACATGCTTGTATTTCTCCCACCCCTCATTCATCTTCTCCACTTGACGTAGTGACAAACTAGCAGCGACGAGTGATTCCTCTCTCTCTCTCTCTCTCTCTTTCTCCCCTTCTTCTTCTTCTATGGTCCCACGGCTTCCATCCTTTGTTTTTTCATTTTCGATCGCCGCTTCAACTCTCAACAGCGAAGACAAAGTGGGATCGTGGGCAAGCAAAATCGGAATCATCTCATTCAACTTTCATAGTAGTAGTTTGAGGGAGTACTGACGACTATTGAGAATCCCTCTTCATTGCTGTTGTAGTTATGTTGTTCATTGTATTCATCTTTCTTCTTCATTGGACAGATTGTATTTGTATTAATTATTTTAATTTTTATTAATTATTAAATATTTTAATAGTTTTAAGATATTATTTTTCTAATTATTAAATATTTTTTTCATTGATTCATGGAATTTATTACTATTTTCATTATTATTTTAACTTTTAATATTTTATTTTTAATTTATAATTTTATATGTATTTTCAATTTTTTTCTTTTTTTAATAAATTATTTTTTATTTTTATATATTTTTTAGTATTATTTTTATGAAATAGTACAAATTGAACTCAAAATTACCAAATAGTATAATTTAGAGGTAAAATAGTAAAATTAATGAATTTCAGATGATGAAGGTTTGATCCAACACAAACAACCTTCTTTATTCAGAGCCTCAAAAAAGTCGAAAAGCAATTGTGTCTCTTTTAAGATTTCGAATACTTTTAATATCTTTTTAACTTTTCAGATTTGTCTAAATTAAACCTTTCAATTGTTAAGGATGACGGAAATATTAATAGGATAAAATGGCCCTTGGTTATTGTTTAAATTTTCAAAATTTTATATATTTGTACCAAACCAAAAAGTGAACTTCTTTTGGCTAACGAGACAGAGAAACGAGATTGAAGTATTGAGGAACCTGTCTTGGAGATGATCGAAGCAGAATTGAAAATTGAGCATCGCATAGCAATAGCATTAGTTGGAACAGAAAATAGAAGTCAAGAAAACCAAAAGTCGAGCAAACCCAATAAGACCAAGTCAAAGGCGGAGCTAGAACCGCTAAGCTCCATGTCTGATACTACTCTTGAAGAGTAAGAAGGAGTCAATGACGGAACTTGTATCGGTAAGCCATTTGTGCTTCTCAATTCTCACTCACCTAGTCAAGCCGAATTGGTGAATAGCCATTTGTGCTTCTTTAGGTTGGACGATGCAACTTTTCGATGCTTCCTCTATAGTGCAGGAATTTAAGGGTGGGCAATTTGGTAAAAAAATATCCTTTTATTTTGCTCATTGTTTTTACAATTTGTTTATAGGCTCAATTTGAAAAGAGTACAAAAGCAAATATGTACAATACAAATACATGCAAAATATAAGGATTTGCACTCTATATATTTGTATTTGTACTCCTTCCAAACTGAGCCAAATGTATCTCATTTTATCAATATATCAAATATGTTAATTTTTTGGGGGAAATTATAGTCAAAGCCGGCTGTACATTTAAATTTATATTGTAGGTTGGTACAAAAACTAGCAAAACTCTAATAGGCAGCTATACATTTCAAATTATAAAAAAACCTCCGCCATGTCATCGGAGGCTTATGTAGTTGTTGCTAACATGCAACTCTTAATCCATGTTTGACACAGCTTTATACCAAAATCAAAACACCTATCTTTCAATCTCATGCTCCCTCTGCCTCTCAATCTCCCACTCTCTTTGTCTCTCTCGCTCCCCTGTCTCTCAATCTCCCACTCTCTTTACCTCTCATACTCCCTTTGCCTCTCGATCTCCTACTCCCTTTGTCTCTCCCACTCTCTTAGCTTTGGTCTACAACCAAATCTCTCTCTCTCTCTCTCTCTCTCTCTCTCTCTCTCTCTCTCTCTCTCTCTCTCTCTCTATCTATCTATCTATATATATATATCTCATTCTCCCTCAGTCTTTCTCCTGCTTCCTCCCTCGTTTTTTTTTTTTTCATAAAACACTTATACGGTATTAATCAGACCGTATAAGTTATAAGTTAGTCAAGGGACCAACAACTTATACAATCAAGTTATAAATTTCTATCAAGTTGGTGTAAGTTTCATAGCCAAGTTTATTGTGAATTTTATCAAATTAGACTAAGGGAGTTAGAACCATACCAAGTTGGTCTTATGTTCTTTAATACAATCTACTAATACCATATAAGTGTGTAAGAAACTCAAAAAAAAAAAGAACAAAAGAGGGAACAGGAAAGAAACTGAGAGAATGATAGAGATTAAGGGAGAATGAGAGATCGATCGAGAGAGAGAGAGTGAAAGATCGACCAAGAGAGAAAATGAGGGAGAAAGAGAGATTAAATGAGAAATAGAATGAGAGATTGAGGGAGAACGATTAATTGACGGAGATGGAGAGAACGAGAAAGATTGACTAAGAGAATGTAAAACCTTTCATGATAGTTGAAGTGGTCCTTGTCTGAAGTACTGTTTTCTTGGACCGCATGGATACTGTGTGTAGCTCTGGTAACAGTAGTCCTTTCTCATTTATAAAACAGAAATCTACAGATCCAAGAGAAACAAGCTAAACTCACTTTATCTCAAGTTATTCAAAAGAAAAAAGAACATACAGTGATAAGAGAAAACTCACATCCAGTGGAGTCCAAGGTGACATTAATGTGGAAGGAGGTCATGGTTGCCGGAATTTGAGGACTTGCTTGGGAGCAAGACTTCTCCCATGACACAGCATACACAGACAGTGATTCTTACCCGATTTACAGAAGGGGACAAAGAGTAATATTGGATTTTAAAAAATTCATAGTTCACATGATGTCACATGTATACGGATTTTGACAGAACATTAAGGGATGCTAATGCTAGGGGTAAAGTCAGTCAATTGTTAGAAATAGCCAAATAGTTTAAAACAATAATTAAACAGTGAAGGTACAATTTGTCACTAGGAATAATTTAAAAAAATTGCCCATATTTAAACAAGCAAATAGTCTAATAAATTCCCCGTGCATATACAAACTATCATTTGTATGAGAAATGATAGGGTTAGTATTATTTATTGAACCAAACCATAAAACTAGAGATGATCAGGGGGATGGCCCACAATTTTGATGGCCTATCCCAGATTGTCAGGATGTCAGAGCATTTGATCATATTCCAACTGAATTCTTGCACTCGAGTTCGAATAACCTGTCAACAAAATACGTTCCAACATGAGATGTGTGGTGCCAGATAAAGTTGGTGCTTGGTAGGGCGTCAAAACATTTTTTATTGGTAGCGGATCCCAATTCGTATTTCAGCAACAAAAAGGAGAGGTTGCTTTATAATTAGATGACTGAATTCTTGCACCTCTCTCTCTCTGCCTGGAAAGCTTTCTCAGACTCTCAGTAATGGCTAACGTCATCCTGCCTCTCCTCTTGACACAGACCTTCCTACACCCACGAACCGCCATTGCTGCAGTGGCTTCCCCTACGCCATTTTCACCCAAAATGTCGTCCACTTGACAGCAACTCAACAACATCGTCAAAGCTCTAATCGGCACCGACAATTTTGGTGATTGGGTGGGAGTCCTCTCCACCACTGACCCTTCAACCATCACAATGACAGCAAC